CATGGGCCAGTGGCAGGGTACCTGGGAGCAGCGACAGGCTGTGCCTAGGACAGGGTACCTGGGAGCAGCGACAGGCTGTGCCTAGGACAGGGTACCTGGGAGCGGCGACAGGCTGTGCCTAGGACAGGGTACCTGGGCGCGGCGACAGGCTGTGCCTAGGACAGGGTACCTGGGAGCAGAAGGGCAGGTAAGTGCCCCCCCTTCCTTTGATTCCCCCTCCTCCTGTTCCTGCCCACTCCCCCCAGCCACACACAACCTGAACCTTCCCCTTACCTCCCACCCAAATCCTGCACCCTCCTCCCTAGGCCACTCACTGGCCGCCCTCTGCACACTGAGCCCTTAATTTTTGACCCTCTCCCAGAGCCTAGGGGAGTCCACAAAATCCACTAACCCCAGAAGAGTTCATCTGGAATATGGGAACCCCTGAACCTCAGTCCTCCCTCTCCCCTGGGGCTGGAGGGGTTGTCTCTTTGTTTCTCACTTGTATGGTCCCTCTCTGATTTTTCTGGAGGTCAGTGGCCCCTGACCCAAGAAAGGTGCCCGCCCCTGCTATAAATAAAGGCCATGTTGAAATGTTTTGTGCTGGACATAAATTAATATTTTACTTTATTTAAAACTAGCAGAAATACTCAGCGGCGCCTGGGGAAAATATAGTAAAAGGTGTGATGAATGAACTACATCAATGGCATTAACATAGCATGTTTTATTGGAAATACTCTTCTCATATGTGACTGTAAGAAATGAACAGAGCTAGTGCTCTTTCTGTTATCACGGGAAAAGGATCTAAACTGTAGTTGCAGTTTTTTGACACTTAAAAGAAGAGTCCAACAAATGCCTATGATCAGGTGCTACTGAAAGCTAATTAGTGGCCCAACTGGGGTTCTGGGGGAACCAATTTCGAGCTATAACCAATCCAGTGAATGACGTAAGGAAATCAGTAGTATCTGGGGCCAGGCTGTGCCTAGGACAGGGTACCTGGGCGCGGCGACAGGCTGTGCCTAGGACAGGGTACCTGGGAGCAGAAGGGCAGGTAAGTGCCCCCCCTTCCTTTGATTCCCATCCCCCTCATGTACCTCCCCACTGAGAACCTGAACCCCCATTCCTCTCAGACACCCTCCCCCAACACCGCACCCCCATTCTGCTCCTGCCCCCTCCCTCCTGGCCAGACACCTTCCCCTCCTCCTGTTCCTGCCCACTCCCCCCAGCCACACACAACCTGAACCTTCCCCTTACCTCCCACCCAAATCCTGCACCCTCCTCCCTAGGCCACTCACTGGCCGCCCTCTGCACACTGAGCCCTTAATTTTTGACCCTCTCCCAGAGCCTAGGGGAGTCCACAAAATCCACTAACCCCAGAAGAGTTCATCTGGAATATGGGAACCCCTGAACCTCAGTCCTCCCTCTCCCCTGGGGCTGGAGGGTTTGTCTCTTTGTTTCTCACTTGTATGGTCCCTCTCTGATTTTTCTGGAGGTCAGTGGCCCCTGACCCAAGAAAGGTGCCCGCCCCTGCTATAAATAAAGGCCATGTTGAAATGTTTTGTGCTGGACATAAATTAATATTTTACTTTATTTAAAACTAGCAGAAATACTCAGCGGCGCCTGGGGAAAATATAGTAAAAGGTGTGATGAATGAACTACATCAATGGCATTAACATAGCATGTTTTATTGGAAATACTCTTCTCATATGTGACTGTAAGAAATGAACAGAGCTAGTGCTCTTTCTGTTATCACGGGAAAAGGATCTAAACTGTAGTTGCAGTTTTTTGACACTTAAAAGAAGAGTCCAACAAATGCCTATGATCAGGTGCTACTGAAAGCTAATTAGTGGCCCAACTGGGGTTCTGGGGGAACCAATTTCGAGCTATAACCAATCCAGTGAATGACGTAAGGAAATCAGTAGTATCTGTGCAAAATGTGGTGTGTCTAGCTCTTACCGTTTCAGAGATATTTTGGGACAAACAAACAAACAAATGAACTTTCAGAAATACTTATAAGATAAAGTTTGGGAAACTAAGATGAAAAAAAGTTAAAGTGTGTAATCTGTTTAATAATTCCTTTCCTACTGGTTAAACTAAACTGTTCTCCCTAGCTGAGCACTAGCAAAATGGTTCAGGTGTAATTATATAATTAACAGTGAGTTTCCATTAGCAGCTGGTGGTCCACAGAAAGATTTGCATTGAGTCGGGTGGGCCACTGGCCAAAAAGTTTAAGTACCACTAGTCTATACCAGCATTTCTCAACCCTTTATTATAAAGTATACCTTTTTTAAAAAAAATTATAAGCAGCTGCAGTACCTATGGTTTTCAGACACACACAATATTTTTCCTACCAATGCAACACATTTGTTTAGATCACTTAATTGTAGCCGGGTGGCTGATGAAATTTTTGGGTGTAAAAAGTACAAAAATAATAAAGCGCCGTAAAACTTAAAACTGAAATTCAGAGAAAATTGAGTTTTTGTTGTGTTGACATACCCCCCAGATTTCATACCACTGGTTGAGAAACACTGGTCTACGCTGACACTGCGTTGACATATCTGCACCAAGCAAAGCTCTGGCACCTTTTTCACGGTCACTAATATGAATGTGCACAAGGACATCCATAAGTGAATCATCACTCTCAGCTACGGCCGAAATAGCCTTTGCACGTGCCGCCCACCGAGAGTCAGAGACACATTTTGGTGCTATGGAATCGTGACCCGAGAATGATTGGAGTTCTGCCCATCGTTTCATAGAGGCAGAGGAGAAAGTAGATAGTTGTTACACAACGGCAAAAAAAAGTACTGCAGGCAGGCAGCCGCAGCACAGCCAACACAATTCGGTGATTGTCCGGCAAATGGACTATAATTAGACTTATTTTTCTCTAGAGGTCTTTGCTGCATGCCATTATACTCTCCGGCCACATTGACAACATCATCATCATCATCGGACTGACGGAAGTCGATTTTGCAAGCACTTTCACCGCTCTCCTGTTCTAACTCGAGGAACGCGAAAGCCATCGCCATTCCAAAACCCGCTGCGATCCGTGTGTGACAGCTTCTGGGCAGCTGGCTTCAGGCCGTTTTGATAGAAATGACAGTTATTTCTACCGTATCCGAACAAGGTCTGCTTTGGAGTCTGTTTTCCCAGTCGTCTTTGTTAAGCCAGTTATGGAAAGCTTGAATGTAGCAAATGTTTTGTATTTCTAGGCCCTAAACTGTAGCTTAGTTAGCTTGTGTGTTAATCCAGCATTGGTCTCTACACCCCCCATCAATCTTCATCAGAACGGCCAGACTGGGTCAGACCAAAGGTCCATCCAGCCCAGTATCCTGTCTGCCCACAGTGGCCAGTGCCAGGTGCCCCAGAGGGAGTGAACCGAACAGGGAATGATCAAGCGATCTCTCTCCTGCCATCCATCTCCACCCTCTGACAAAGAGGCTAGGGACCCCATTCCTTCCCCATCCTGGCTAACAGCCATTAATGGACTTAACCTCCATTAATTTATCTAGTTCTTTTAAACCCTATTATAGTCCTAGCGTCACAACCTCCTCAGGCAAGGAGTTCCACAGGTTGACTATGCACTGTGTGAAGAAGAACTTCCTTTTAAGTACCACTGGTCTACACCAACACTGCATTGACTGCAGCCCTGCTCCCAGCATGGATCAGCTCCCTGGCTCTCCCTGGCCACCCGGCTCAGCTCCCCAGCACAGCTTGGGCCCCTTAGACAGGGTGGGGCCAGGTTGCTTCCAGCTCACATGAAGGACGTTCCCCTCCTCTGCATCCCCACCTCCCTGACTCCCTCATCACTGCATCCCACACCAGCACTTCCCCCCTCCTCTGGTACTGGGGCAAGCCAGCCAAAAGCCCCCACCGACTTCTAATAAGGGGCCAACAGTCCCCTTACACCTATCTTTACTGGCCACCTCGTGGCTGGAGAAACTAGCCAAGCACCCAAAAGGCACATGCCAAACTTGCATCTGCCTCGGGTCCCGGCTCAGAGCCGTGTGGCCACAACCACAATGAAGACGCCGCCGTGGCCAGGTAAGCCAAACGCTTCTTAGACAGCCCAAAGGGGAGAGATGGAAAAGCAAAAAAGCAAGGTAGGGAAGGAGAACGGGCCCAAGAAGGCGCGGCAGCAGGAACCGGGTGTTGCTCAGGGTGTGGCTGAAGCCGGTGTGGGTCACCGCATCCGTGCCCCATTCTGACTTCCCAAATCTGGAGGATGCTGGCCCAAGAGGGCCTCCGTGGGTTGCGGGGTTCCAGGAAACTGTGACATTTGCACCCTGTCGTCCCCGTGTCCTCCTGCTCCAGCGGCACGGCCGCCCGGCAAACAGCGCCTCAGAGCTTTAAAACAAACCACATGAAAACTAAAACATTCGGTCCGTGCTGACGACGCATTTCTAGCCTGTGGTGGCTCTTTGCCTGCCCCCGGCTGCCCCAGAAGCCCTGCAGAGGTTTCACCCAGCTCGTCCCAGGCTCGTTGCTGCTCACGTCTGCTGCCAACAGCTGCCTGCGTTGGACCCAGTCCTGGCCTCTGCTCAGCAGCGCCTGTCTCCCCTTAACCTCATTCACAGCAAGCACAGCCCTGTCACAAAGCCAGAGACTCTAATTTCATTCCCCTCGGGCAACCCACGCCCTCTGGGTGTGACGCTTTGTGCCCTCCCAGCAGCACCCCGCCCAGCCAGCGATCACTGAGTCTGCGACAGCTTTGGGGCTTTTAGCTCCAGCACTAGAGGAGTGCCAGAGGTCCCAGGTTCGATCCCGCCCACCGACACACTTTGTCCGTTAGCACAGGAGTTCCCAACCTTTCTTATGCCATGGACCAGCAAACCCACTGACAAACTTTTGGCAGACTGGTAGCATTTCATTGGGCTATTCATTATACAAATAATGAATATGCAAATAAAATGTTACCATCTTCCTAGCCCCACTCCAGCCCCTTTCTCCCCAGTCCCAAACATCCTTTACTCACCCTTACAGCTCATGCCAACACCCTCTCGCCTCGTGACCCAAGACCTCTTCGCCCCCCACCCCACCCCCACAGAGCGAGGCTGCCCCCTGTAGGGAGCGTGGCTGTTACTGCCATGCAGAAAGGGGGAGCAGCCCTCCTCCCTGCCTGTGCCTCCCACTCCCTCTTCCTCCCATAAGACAACCGGCTCTGCATTCCCGCTCAAGCTCACCTCTTCCCCTGCTCCCCTCTCCCCAGTGTTTGAGGCTTGGGTGTATCCAACACCACTGCTCATCTGGCACAGGTATAAATCCAGGCAGAACGTTCCAGGCAGGGGAGAACCGGACCTCTCCCCCCACCTCCCACGCCAGCACAGGCCACTAGCAGATTTTGGAGCAAGGTTTTGATTTTTTCCCCCATATTCCGACCTTTCCCCAGCCATGATCAGACAGTGGATGTATTTATCTGGGAGCAGCAAGCATCTCTGAGCCACAGGCCACATGACAAAGGGTTTGTCGGTAGCAGGCAGTTATTCCAGAAGATGGTACGGCTTGAGTTTAGAGAACTACAGCGATCCTGGAATAACTCTCTGCCCGTGGATGCTCTTATTCCAAATTAAGAGCTGCCTTTTCCTGGTTTTGTGTCCTCCAGAAGTGGATCAAGATCAATTCAGGAATTCTTGAAGAAGGGTGTCCACACAGGGAGCTTTTCCAGAATAGTTTATTTAAGCAACAGTTATTCTGGTTCATTTCCCATTAAGAAAACCCCTCAAGAAGGGGTTAAAGCCTTAAGAAGCTAAATTGAGCCACTAACTTAACGGAATCCATCCGCATGCTTGTTACATCTCCCTGTAACAAGGAGCTTTTGTTCAGCGTAGACATTCCTACATCAACTACACAAATATTTTCTGGTTCTGATAAATGTTATTCAACCAGGTCAAAGCTTGCTGTACAGCAGAATTCCCCTTCAATCCCTTGTCCTCATAAAGAAAAAAATGGAAGGGACACCATCAATTTAAAGAGGGATCACCTGTTACTGGAGAGTTTGGGAGGGGCGGTTCCTCAACACACTATTGTCAATGTAACACAACGTCAGGGTACAAATCTGTTCCCAGTGTGATTTCTCAGTGTAACTGACCAAACTCTGCATCTAGCCAGTTTCACCATTTTCCTGTACAGTCAGCAGTTTGCACTGCCAGCCATTGGTGTGGGTCCATCACAGAGCAAGAGGTGAGGAAGAGAGTGTGAACAGAAAAATGTGATTTAACCTCCTCCCATGCCCACAGCTGG